AGCCCTCCTCCATTTTTTTGGGGGGGGGTCCAGTCGTGGGGCCTGAACTCTGGGCCTGGGCACTGTCCCTCAGCTCTTCAGCTCAAGGCTAGCGCTCTACAACTTGAGCCACAGCGCCACTTCCGGCTTTTTTTCTTTTTGCTTATGTGGTGCTGGGGGATTGAACCCAGGGCCTCGAGCATGCAAGGCAAGCGCTTTACCACTGAGCCACCTTCCCGGCCCCTCCTTTTTTTTTTTTTAAAGAGGTGAACATTATCTAACATGCCTGATTGAAGTAGATGCTTTGTATTTAGCCAGACTGGCAGACTCAGTTTTGCCCAAATGTGCTTCTATACTTGACAGTTGTGAGATATTCATGTGTATGTCTTAGAGTATCATGACACTTGCCAGTTTTGTATCCGTCAGTTCAATTTTGAGCTGTTTTTTTTTTCCCCCCCCAGCTTCCCATTCAGGTGAACAAAACCCTAAAAAACATTGTGATTTATATTATTGCTGAAGAAAATACTGGTCAGACTTAAAATAGGTTGAACCTGACCCTTTCAATGTGATTGTCAGGAAGGAATAATAAAGAATATATTCTTCATATGAGAATACTCTCTGAAACCAAAAGTACTATTTTGTGAAACAAATTTCAAATTTTTGTTTATGTAGGTGGCAATTCTATGTCAGTTCCTCAGAGAAATCGACTACAAAACAGCCTTTAAATCTTTGCAGGAACAAAACAGGTAAGAGTTTTTTAAAAAATAAAATGAAGTTGAGAAGTTTCTGCTTTAGAAGAAGCTAACTGATTTCTGTTTTTCAGTCATGATGCTATGGATTCCTACTATGACTACATTTGGGATGTCACCATCTTGGAATACTTGACTTGTATCCTTCCATCCACACATGCACTGTTATAATGGCGCATTTGTCAAAACAAACAGTGGAATTCTATTATAATATTTAATGCTATTAGATTTATTATTCTTAACTGATTCATTAGATCTTCATCATAAAAGAGGAGAAACAGACAAAAGACAAATTGCTGTAAGTTACCTTATCCTTTTCTTCAGTGATGTAGTTTCCTGAATATTAAATGATTGCTAAAATTTTGGGAAGGTGGCTCAGTGGTAGAGCGCTTGCCTTGCATGCATGAGGCCCTGAGTTCAATTCCTCAGCACCACATAAGCAGAAAAAAAAAGCCGGAAGTGGTGCTGTGGCTCAAGTGGTAGAGTGCTATCCTTGAGCTGAAGAGCTGTGGGATGGCACGCAGGCCCAGAGTTCAGGCACCACAACTGGACCCACCCCCCCAAAAAATACTTCTAAAATTTGTGTCAGTGGAAAAAGGATTTTGTGTACTTAGTTGCTGCCAGAATTCCTATCCCCACCTTGTGTGTGTGTGCACGTGTGTGCGCGTGCGCACACACACACACATATGCACTGCTGTGTGCTAGTAGCAGGGTTTGAGCCTCAGGGCCTTTGTTCTTTCTTGCCTTTTTTTGCTGAAGGCTTTTTTGCATTATCACTTCAGCCATATCTCTACTTTCTGGCCTTTTGCTGATTAATTGAAGAGAAGAGTCTTGCAGACCTTTCTGACTAGCTTGGCTTCAAACAGTGATCTTCAGATCTCTGACTCTGGAGTAGCTAGGATTTTAGGTAGGAGCTACTAGTGCCTGGTGGTTATAAATATACTTTTAGTTTTTCATTTTTATTATTTTGGTCAGTTGTGAGGCCTGAATTCTTGGCCTGGGTGCTGTCCCTTAGCTCTTCAGCTCAAGGCTAGCACTCTACCATTTGAGCGACAGCGCCATTTCTGGCTTTTTCTGCTTATGTGGTGCTGAGGAATCAAGCCCAGGGCTTCATGCATGCAAGGCAAGCATTCTACCACTGATCCACCTTCCTAACCCCTAGCTTTTTATTTTTGTAATATAAACCATCCCATATCAGCTTGGTTTTAAAGTGTTCATAAATATTTCTGTGCTCTGAATTTTCAAATAGATTCTCATCATATATAAAGTCAGCCACATATGACTACCTCTCGTTTGCCCAATTTGTCATTCTCCTCAGTAAAACTAGTTAACTTCACACTAATATATCCCTGCTGTCCTCAAAGCATTTTGGGAACATTCAGTCTCTAAGCACCTTTAAAATTTTCTTTCAGGAACATTCCTGCAGATACGTTCTCAGTTGTCCTGTTAGTGATTAGTCTTCTCTTACCATTCTATTAGATAATGTGTCTCCCCATTCTTCCTTCATTTTCCATTTTAATCTTTTTCTCTGTAACACTTACCAACATTTCACATATATTTACTTCCTCTCATTTTCCCTTAATAAAGACTTGGTTTGCTTAGTTATCTGGAATGGCGTTTGGTGTATTATAGGTGTCCAGTATTATTTGACTGTATGCCAGACATTTAAAATGTTGTCATTATTTCTTTTGCCTTTTTGTTTGTTGGTTGGTTGTGGGGCTTGAACTCTGGGCACTGTCCCTGAGCTCTTCAGCTCAAGGCTATTGTTCTACCACTGGAGCCATAGCACCACTTCTGGTTTTCTGGTGGTTTATTAGCAATAAGAATCTCACAGGGCTGGGAAGGTGGCTTAATGGTAGAGTGCTTGCCTTGCATGCATGAGGCCCTGGGTTCGGTTCCTCAGCACCACATAAGCA